ATGTCTAAGCTTTTTGCAAACTCATCAATTCTAAATGTAGTTTATTAAAAGTACGAATCTCAAAAAAAATTTTCACAGTAAATTTATTTTTCCTATATCAATTTTTTTTTATCAGTTATTAAAAACTTTCTATAAATTCATAAAAATGGCAAAAAAGAAAAGTTAAAAAGAATAACTTTATCACTAACTGAAAGGTATGAGATCGATACTTTTAAACAACTATTTTTTTTTTTTTTTAATAATTTCGATTTTTTTGCATTTCTAAATTTTTTTTTTATCTAATATTACAAAAACTCACTTATATATTATATTAAAAATATATTAAATTGATACGTGTAATTGAAGCAACTTGAAAAAATTTCATGCATAAAGAAAAATTAATTTCAATTATATTATAATCGCATTTCTCAAAAATTGTGATTATATATATTAAAAAATGAAAAAGAACAAATATTTTTTTTAATTGCGTGGATTGATGAAGGAAGGATGGGATGATAATATACATTGGTATGAACATTAAATTATTGAAAAATATTTTTTTTTACACTATTTTCTATAATAATAAGGATAATCACACATTTAAAAAGAGAACTCTAAAATATTGATCATTAATAAAAATAAAAATTTTTGACTTTACTTTTGTCAATTTTTTTTTTTTTTTTTTAATATTACGGTAGATTTAATTTCATTATTGTCAGTAGAGTGAAAAGAAGTAATTAAAAATTGTTTCCCTTATAATAAAATTTGACATTAAAAGAAAAATTTTCATTTTATGTATTCTGAAAAGATGATTAAAAAATGTGTATTTCTAAATGGAGAGATGAGTCGTCGTATTTCCTATAATTTTTAAAAAAATGTGCAGTAATAAGATTTTTTGTAAGGAATTATAAATATAAATTTTTAATAAAAAAAAAAATTGAAAGGTCAAACTCATGCAAATTATTTTATTATTTTTTGTTTTAGAAAAAAATTTCAACATCAAAATGTTTAGTTAGTTTTTAAAATTTGAATAATGCTCATTATTAAATTATCATCATTTTACTGTAAAATTTTTTTTTCCTTCTTTTTTCATTTTCTTTTAATAGAAAAATATATTTTTTTAATTTTATTAAAAAAATTTCTTTTTTTTGTAGAAAAATACAAAATTTTTGTTTTATTTGCTGAATAAAAACATTTTTTTCCAATAATATCGACTCTAGTTCTATTTCCGTAAAAGAAATTTATAATTTTGTCATTATTGAAAAAAATATTACTTCTTTTAAATTAGGCTTTTAATTTTATTTATTACGCATAAAACGAGATAATTTTTACTGATTAAGAAACAAATTTTTTCTTCAAACTAAGAAACATATTAGCTGACCCAATAAAATAAATTCTCAAACAAACAAAAAAAAAATATTAGTACAAGGAAAGAAGAGCGCAAATTCTACGTCGAATGAGCCAAAGTTAAAAATATTTTTGTCAAAGTAATATATGAGAGATTCTTTTTCAATCGCCCCAGCCCAAAAAGTCAATGTTCTGGGATTGGCTTCATACTTTGGTAAATTGTTCTCCTATATGATAGTAATAAATCCCTAAAATATAAACTAATTAAAAAAATATTTGTAGAAAGTAGAGGGGGTTGAAGTTTTGACGTTAAGGGTAACATTGTCATTTTCAAATCCGTTTAACTATGACAAAAGTTAATGGATTTTAATTTATCTATAATGAATTTTATTGCATTTTTCACGTACTTTTCAAAAATGTATATGAAATTTAAAAAAAAAAATTTTTAACCCCTTTTTTGTCAAAATCAACCCTTATTTTTCGATTTTCACCCCTTCGGGTATTTTTTTTTTTTTTTTTTTTATTTTCATTGGAAAGCTGAGGTTTTTTCCGATGAGCTATGTAAATATGAAAATGGGACAACAATAATTTTGTGAGTAACAGAATATTAAAGTAGGCGGTGCCGATAAGGGGTGTACCTGGAGATCATCTTTGAGGATTTAGATAGGCACCGCCTAATTTAATATTATGTTTCTCACAAAATTATTGTTGTCCCATTTTCATATTTACATAGCTCATGGGAAAAAACCTCAGCTTTCCAATGAAAATAAAAAAAAAACAAAAAAAAATTCCCGAAGGGGTGAAAATCGAAAAATAAGGGTTGATTTTGAAAAAAAAGGGGTCAAAATTTTTTTTTTTTAAATTTTGTATACATTTTTGAAAAGTACGTGAAAAATGCAATAAAATTCATTATAGATAAATTAAAATCCATTAACTTTTGTCATAGTTATACAGATTTGAAAATGACAATGTTACCCTTAACGGCACCCTTATCGGCACCGCCTACTTTAATATTCTGTTTCTCACAAAATTATTGTTGTCCCATTTTCATATTTACATAGCTCATCGGAAAAAACCTCAGCTTTCCAATGAAAATAAAAAAAAAAAAAAAAAAAATACCCGAAGGGGTGAAAATCGAAAAATAAGGGTTGATTTTGACAAAAAAGGGGTTAAAAATTTTTTTTTTTAAATTTCGTATACATTTTTGAAAAGTACGTGAAAAATGCAATAAAATTCATTATAGATAAATTAAAATCCATTAACTTTTGTCATAGTTAAACGGATTTGAAAATGACAATGTTACCCTTAACGTCAAAACTTCAACCCCCTCTACTTTCTACAAATATTTTTTTAATTAATTTATATTTTAGGGATTTATTACTATCATATAGGACAACAATTTACCAAAGTATGAAGCCAATCCCAGAACATTGACTTTTTGGGCTGGGGCGATTGAAAAAGAATCTCTCATATGGGAAGGAGGGATTTCGCCAATTCAATATATCGTCGAATTTGACATTTTTGATTTAGCTGAATTTTTTTTTTAACTTTTTGCGATCAACAAAAAAAAGTTTCATGTTTTTTTCCAATTTTTTTTTTAGGCATTTATGAGATAAATTTTTTTTTTAATTACAGAAAATTAAGGGAACTTTATGAAAAATTTGATGGAAAAATTAAACGAAAAATGATTTATTACATTTTTTTTTTGCAATTTATTCGGAATATTTTCAAAATTTTAAATTATTAAAAAATATTTCTCATTATTTTGATACTGTACATATTTATGTATTTTGATGCGGTAATTAAGAAAAACAGTGAAAATACCCGCAAAGTTGATTTTCATGGCAAAAACCATAAAAAGCTGCCAAATTGATATTTTTTTTGTAAACTATGCAAAATTTTCAAAAATACTTTAAACAAAAATTGTAAATCTCAGTAAAATACATTTTTTATATTCTATAATATTTTTGAAAATTTCATAAAAAAAAAAATGCAAAACTATAAATTTTCTATCATTTTTATTCTTTTTTTTCATGAAAATCAAATTTTGGTTTATTTTCACAGATTTTCGTAATCAGTGCATCGAATAACAAATAAATATACATTGTATCAAAATAATCGTAAATATTTAATAAAAAAAATTCCAAATTTCAAAAATTTTCAAAAAATTGAAAAAATCGTTTTCCTACGACGGTACCAGTCTTAACATTTTTTTTTTTTAAAGTATAGGTATTTTTTTTTATTTAATTTATCAAAAAAAAAAAAATCGAAGGATATAAACAATTTTAAAAATAAGATTTTAATCTCAAGAAAAAAAATATCTTTGAAAAAAATTCATATCTCGTAAATGGTTTAATAAAACAAAGCTGAAGTACGCAACGTTTATAATAAACGATTTTTAAAGAAATAATTTTTTAAAATGAAATATTCTATAATTTTTTGCCTAAAAAATATTTTTTTTTATAATTTGTTGATTAATCAAAACTACAAGAAATATTTTTTAAGGCAAAAAATTATAGAATTTTTCATTTTAAAAAATTATTTCCTTAAAAATCGTTTATCATAAACGTTGCGTACTTCAGCTTCGTTTAATAAAAAAAATTTGAAAAAAAATCCAAACACTTCTTTTTCATAAAGTACAAAAAGAAAAAAAAAAATTAGTCAAAACAAAAATTTCAAATTGAAAAGGCGTTAAACCCTCCTTCCCCCATATATTTTGTTTTATTTGTCTGCACCCGAATCGGTTATATAAAATTTATTTTACACTTGAAAAAAAAAAAAAAAAAAAAAAATTCGAAATAATTGTAATTTCGTAAACGATTTAAAAATGTATATTATGAATATATAGACTAAATGTTATAAAACTAGGGGCACGTGAGTAACTTGCATATGTGTGTGTATATATGTGAGAGTGTGTGTGAGGTTTCGGCGCATGTAATCGCGACAGCAGTGTAATGCAAGTGGGTACAAAAAAAATATATATATATATATAAATATATGAAAAGAAAATTATAGGCGGCAGTGTAAAATAAAACGAAAGATTAATTTACTTGACTGGCGATTAATATTTCATTCAAGATGAATTTGTTACTGCGCACGCGTCAGAAAAACAAGCTGTTTTTAGTTGCGTAGAACGTTCTTGTCGCAATCGTTTATAAATCTTGAGCTCAAAATCAATTTTTTGTTTAATTTCAATTTTCTGTTTCTCAATTTTTAATTTTTCTTTTTAATAAAAAAAAAAAAAAAAATTTTTTAAAAACTATATTTTTGGTATAATTTGTAGAATTTCAATCAAATTTTTAGATATAAAATTTCAAAAAAAATTGTTTCATTTATAAAAAAGAACCCTGGATATTTTTTTTCGAAATATCTGTGAGAATTAGAGATGTTTTATTTTAATCTTCGATCTTAATTTCCATGAAACTATTTCAAATTTGTATTTCGTTAGAAAAAATATTTGTACTGAAGGTTTCATTTTTTTTTTTGCTCACCGTTATAAAAAAGACAAGAATGAAGAAAAAATTGTTATTTTTGCGCTCGAGAAAAAAAAACGATGTTCAGCGACATTGAACGTGTCAGCGCTGTTCACGAGTTTTTGTTAAAATACAAAATTTGTTCGCTTTTTTTTTCTTTTTTTTTTGTTTTGCGTCAAGTAAGTCGTCAGGCGGACTTACCATTCTTTTTTTGGACAACAACTTTGGCTGCGACTTAACGTAGTTGCATTTGCCGAACAACGGAGTTTTGAGTGGTAGTAGAGGTAGTAGAGGTAGTAGTAGAAGTAGTAGAAGTAGAAGTAGTACAGGTAGTAGCATAGTGTCGTGCCAAGATAGGAGGATTCCAAGACCAGTGTGATTGATATAAATATAATACAAAAGGAGTACGATAAAAGACAGTCAGTGCAATTTTTTTCTTTTCGAGAAAATAACCAATCAAATTGAAAATTCTTCAAGGAAACTAAAAGAAAAGAGTGTGTAAAAAATTACTTTTTTTTAAAAAAAAGAAAAGAAAAAAGATAAATTAATAAACGTGTTTTCGATGATGACCGAATTATTGTTAATTGTATTGAATATATTCTCTAAAAATAATTAGTACAAATTTCGAATTTTTCGACATTTTTGAAATTCGAATTTCTATTTAATGTAGAATTTATGTTAAATCGAATTTTCATCACATTTTCTATTTAAAAAAATTTATAAAATATAAATACAATAAAAATTAAATTTATCAAAAATTTGTAACATACACTTTTCAGAAAAAAAATTATGTTTTTAATCAAAATCTTTCACCAAATAATTGTTTTTATTTTTTAACATTTTGATTTTTTTTTCTGACAAAAATCATAATTTTTATCCATTTTTTATAAACAATATCTTATTTCACTCACTGAAATATTCTCTACTATTGCTATTTTTTCAAAAGTTGTTGAAAATTCTTTTTTTTCTCAAAAATAATAAACAAATGAAATTGTTTTTATTGAAAATAATTTTTTAACAACATAGAAAAATTACAATTTTAGAGAATGTTTCAACGAGTAAAATAAAATAATAATTTATTATAATAAAAGTAATAAAATCGTTTTTGAAAATTGGATAAAAATTGCAATTTTTTTTTACTATAAACTGAAAGAAAAAAGTCAAAATGTTAAAAAAAATAATAATAATTCGATGAAAGATTTTGATTAATCATTTTTTTTTTTTTTTTTTTTTTTTTTTTTGTTGAAAAATGTATATCGATATCTTGCAAAATTGATTGAAATTAACTTTTATTATATTTTCGTTTGCGATAAAAAAAATATATAGTTAAAAACCATTTTTGAGTTGAGGTTATGTTACGGTCACCATCCTCCTTAAATAGTTAAAGAATTTTTAAATTTCGCGCCATTATCTATCCTTTTTTTTGTTATACGGTTGGTACTTCACTTTGTCTATTCACAAGATTTCTAACCTAGAAATTTCAATAATCGGTGCATTTACTCTAAATGAATAATCCAATAATTGTAATCCCATGGTTAAATGGGACATTTGCTCATTTTTATCGAAAATAAATTATATAGAAAAAATTATGATTGTATAATTTTTAAATTCACAGTAAAATATTTGTTTGGAAAAAAATACGCATTTTGACAATTGAAAATTTAGTATTTTAAAAATTCAATAAAACGACAAGTCGTGATAATAAAATTACGAAAAAATAATAGAAATTCGTCGAAATATACAAATTTTGTCATTTAAAAATCCAAATAAATAGAAATTATATATAAAATAAAAATTAGATTAAAATTATTTATTCATTTATTTATTAAATTAAAAATTTGATTAAATTAAAAATTCGATGAAATTAAAATTTTGATTAAATAAAATTTCGCTTTAATGAAAATTCTACGGTGTAAAAAATTCGATTTCATATTAATCCTACTTAATAAAATTCGTCCTTTAAAAATATCGATTAATTGAAAATTTAAACAAATTAATTTTAAAGAATATTCATGCGTCTCGTAATTTTTTTCTATTACCGTAAATGAATATTTCCGAAACGATTGTCATTTGTTGATTTGGTTGTTCGCTTTTAAGTTTTTTTTTAGTGTGAAAGTATTTTATTTGTAGCTATATTTCTTTATTGTTCTTTCTTCGTTTCTACTTATTAAATTCCCACTGGATTCCAAATTTAAAAACTTTTTTTATTCAAAATAAGAATACGCCATTTTTAAAATAGAAACAATATTTTTAAAATCATTTTTTACATTAAAAATATATTCTTGATTTTCAAAATATTTCTTATTTTAAATATATATATATATTCTTTAGTCGAAAATTTATTTATTAAATTAAGAATTTATTTTGTCAGTAAACTTTTGTATATTAAGTAATTTTTTTTATTTTCGTATATTTATCATTGTATTCTTTGTCCGTTACTGCAAATGAAATTACAATGTAAAAATAATTAAAATAAAAAATTAAATGATAAAAAATTTAACTAATTATCGCTACATGCCTACTTTTTAATTTACTTGTAAAACTCTAATTAAAGTACCTACATTTTTATTGTAATATTATTAAAGCAATTACTTTATAAGTTACTACTCTCGATATAAAAATAATATTTTAAATTTAAATTTATTGTCAATATAACGGGTGACGAGTTTTTTCAAAAAATGATTTAGTTTTCAATTTTTTTTTTTAAATTTACTGTAAGAGAAAATAATAATAAAAAAAAAAGTGTATCATTAATTTTCTCGTTCCCTTTCACAGATAGATTATCTTTATTTCAAAAATGATCTACAAAAATTTTTAAACCCTGTCACGTTATCGGATATTGATATTTTTCATCTGAAATATTAGTTATTTAATTTCGTGAGACGTCACAGTGTGCACATGCTCTTATAAGTGATATCATAAAAAAAAAGAATAAATCGATAGACATAATCTAACCATTCAGAAAATTGTCTCTAAATATTTTCTCAATATATTACTATAGTGAAAAAATTGAGCTGTGAGTTAGAAATTAGATATTGTAAAGTTTTTTTTTCTTTTTTAAATTTAATAATAGAATAAAAAAGAAAAGTGCAGCAAAGGAGTGTGGAAAAAATACTTTATAAAATTTTGTGAAGGAACTCCATTCACACGAGAATTGTTCATGGACGTATAATTGGAAATGTGTATTATGGATGCTTGTAAGTGAAGTGGAAGTAAAACGATATTTAACTTGAGATTGAAAAAGAAATCAAATACATCAATACTATTTTATATATAGCAACAAAACTAGAGTTTTTTTCCACACAAAAAAAAAAAAAAAAAAAAAAAACAGAAACTCTCTTTTTAGAAATTTTTTATCGAACAAAAAAAACTCTAGTTTGCTTACTTCAACTGAAATAACTAAAATTAATTATTCTATTGAAAGCGATTAATATGTATAATGAATAGTAAATTCGATTGATGTTCTCTTACCATCTGTTCCAAGAAGCAATGTTCAAAAAATAAATTTCAGAATTAAGTTTTTTTTTTGAAAAATATTATTAAAATTTTCTAAATATAAAAGGCATTACCGTATGGAGAAAAAATAAAAAAATAAATTCTAATAGAAGTCTGTAAAGGAAAATCGAATTTTAAAAAATAGTTTTCCGAGAGGAAAACTTTTTTTTTCAAAAAAAAGTCGACAAAAGTGTAAATAAAGAAATGCATAAAATTTACCAATGGGTAACAAAAAAAAAGGAAAGCTCTGCCATTTCCAAAATTATAAATTACATAATGAATCGAATTGAGAATAATTGGTTTTATACAATTTTGCTTACAAAATTATATAGTTTTTATCAATAAAAAAAAAAGAAAAAAAAAATTCTAAACAAATTGGAAATAGCAAGAATTTTCTGTTTAATTATAAGAATATTGTATTTAATAGAGATTGAGAAATACTAAATGAAAACGGATATTACCTTCTTCCAGTCCCTCATCTCCGTCGCTCATCAACTCGTCATCGGAACAAATGTTTAATACGTTTACTAACATTTCAGTGACTGAAACGTACAAGATAAAATGTTAAAAATTATGAACAACGTTCATTGTTATATTAAAATTATGAGAATAATTTTTTTTTTTCTCTTATTTTTAATTAAAAAAGAAAAATTTTCAATTTATTATCGAACAATACCTTTTTCTCCAACGAATGGTAAAGACCACGTAAAAACATCCATAAAATTAGGTAACCAATAGGGATGTGGTGAACAGTTGAACTGTCTGATGTTCATCACGTTGTTTTCGTATTTGAGCACAGCCGCCTTAAAAGAAAATTGTCATTTATTATTCAATTATTTTCTTTTATTTTCCTATTTTACTCATTAAAGGAGAATTTTTTTTTTGTTTCATTTCCATGGTAAATATAATTATTGGCACGTGTTAAATATACTTTAATTGTACACTGTCAAAAATCAATACATTACATCGACAAAATCTATTTTTTAAAATTCTACACAAAAAAATTATTAAAATTGGTATATTTAACACGATGCACAAATTTCACATAAAAATCAAATTAGAATTTTCATTCCAGAGAATTTAATCACCCAGAATTTTATTTTAGCCGAATTTTTATTTCTTTGAATTATTATTTAATAGAAATTCCATTTAATCGATTTTCAATATTACCAAATAGCTAATTAAACGAATTTTCATTTGAAAAAAATTCTTTCTGTAAAATAATTTAAATAGACTATTACGTCTAATAAAAATTCGAGCTAAAAATTATTAGCTCGAATTTTTATTCTTATTCTTATTCTCAATTATTATAATAATTGAGAAATTCAAATTCGGTGAAAAAAAAATTCTATAAAATTTGAAAAAAATTTTATTTACACTAATTTGAATTTGTCAGAATTATTATTTGCTGCAATTTTAATTATGTAGAATATTTATTTAAAAGAATTTTTATTAAACAAAAAAAAATTACAGAAAAAAATCTTATTTAGCCGACTTTTCTTATTAAACAATCAGAACAGTCGAAATTTTTTTGTTACATACTTTTATTCGGACAAATGAGAGTTTGGTCAAATTTGACGTTTTAAAAATATATTTAAATTTAAATTTTTGAACAAATGAAAATACGCCTATAGAAAATAATTTTTTGTAATATTCTTTTTGTCTAATAAAAATTCTTTTAAATAACTAATTCTGCCTAATGAAAATTCAGACAAATTCAATGAAATAAAAATATTGTCAAAGGAAAATTCGTTTAAGTTACAATTCTGTAACATAATTCGGTTAAATGGAATTTCCGTTGAATAATAATTCGAAGAAATTAAAATTCGGATAAAATGAAATTCTTGATTAATTAAATTCTGTTAAATCAATATTCTGAGGTGCATGATTACAAAAGTCATAAGTTCGAACTTTTATTTTAAAGAATTTTTATTACATTTAATTAAATTTTAGTCAAATTTTCATTTTCTGATTTAGCACTTTGACAAACATTTTTTTAAACGAATTTTTTAACTTAAAAGAATTCTTATTTAACCAAATTTAATTTAGCAGAACAATAATTTAGTAGATTTTTTAATTAAGCAGAATTTTACATGATTCAAGTTTTTAAGGGGAGGGACCGCTGAAATTTTAACACATCAAAATTAAAGCTGTTTAAGGGTGGTCAATTTTTTTTCTGACAATATTAATTATTTAAATGTATAATATATCATGAAAAATTGAAAAACTATAAATTTGTTAATAATTTTTAAAATCAAATTCAAAATTCTCGAAAATTTAAAATTTAAACTTCTCTCACAATTTTAATTATTTTTGACTGCCGATTTTTTTATACGCTTGTTTCATGATTCTAAACAATCAAGCGTATGGATTTTGAAAAATTTCAATTTTTTCAAAAAATGAAAATTTTGAAAAATAAAAATATTTGTAAAATTGTTAAAAATTACCTTTTGTTGTTTTTCTCAGTAGAATAAGATTTTTGGTTGAAAAAAAATGTTGAAAAAAATTATTACTCCTAAACAAGATCAATTTTGATTGCTTTCCAATTTTAGTGGTAATTTTGAAAAAAATTCAACTACTTCCACAATTTTCATTATTTTTTACTGTCGAATTTTTTTTACGCTTTTTTCACGATTTTAAACAATCAATCGTATGGAATTTAAAGAAATTTAATTTTTCCAAAAAATAAATTTTCTAAAATGGCTAAAAAAATTTTTTTTTTTAAATTTTAATAATTTATAATAATTTTGGATCCTAAATTATGCCAGAAAAAAAATTGACACTCTTTAACAATAATAACTTCAGTAGGCTGAAATTTCACCAGTCCCTCCCCTTAATTGACAGAATTTCCAATTCCCAAATCAAGATTTGTTCGAATTTTTATTTGTACTAATTCTTATTTGTTAGAATCTTTAAACCGCCGAATTTTCAATTGTCCGAAATTGCAAAATGTCCAAACAAACAATCGAAAGAATGTTTTCATCGCGATTTTTAAAATTGCCCATTCACAATTTTTTTTGCTGCTTACTAATTGGTCAATAATTTTTTTAAAATTCGCTTCGAAATTTTTCTGTTGTTTATTTATTCGGACATTTTGCAATTTCGGACAAATGAAAATTTGGTGTTTTAAAGATTCTATCAAATAATAATTAGTGCAAATTAAAATTCGAACCAATGTAGATTCGGTGAATTGAAAATTCTGGCATTCGAAAATTTGAATCATTTAAAATTCTCTCAAATGAAAATTCCACTAAATTAATATTTGGTTAAATAAGAATTTTTTTAGAAATAAAAAGTTGTGTAAAGACAAAATTCTGTAAAATAAAAATTCTTTCAAACAAAAATTCGATATCTAAATAATTTTGTGAAATAAAAATTCGTTAAAAAAAAAAAATACTGTCAAATGCTAATACAAAAAATAATTATATCTAAATAAAATTCTTTAAAATGTAAATTTTAACTAATGATTTTTATGAGAAATTCATGCGCCCATTTTCCCTCTTTGAATATTTTTTTTTTTCTATCGTAAAGCTGGAATTTTTTTTCATCAAACTATGTAAATATAAAAATGGAACAACAATGGGAGAATATGTAAAAAAAAAAAAAAACGGAAAAAATCGTTTTTTTACATTCTCTCAAACCCATTATTTTAAACATAGTTTATTGGAAAAAATCTCAGCTTTCCAATGAAAATAACAAAAAAAAAATTTCAAGGGGAAAAATGGGGTTAAAGATAAAAAAAATTGTGATTGATTTTGAAAAAATGGGGTTAAATTATTTTTTTAAAACTTTTATTGGCATTAAAAAGTATTTTAAAAACCCTTTAAAAAATCCTATTCACAAATTGAAATCCATAAACTTATGTTAAAGATATATAGGTCTGAATATGACAGCGAATTAAGAAGCATTTGAAGTGGAAACAGTCATTCACTGTCATATTCAGACCTATATATCTTTAATATAAGTTTATGGATTTTAATTTGTGAATAGAAATTTTTTAAGTTTTTATTTCCTTTTCAAAAAACATTTTTTTTTTTTTAAATATATTTAATCCCATTTTTTTAAAATTAACCATTATTTTTTATTTATATCCCAGTTTCCCCTCTAAAAAAAAATTTTTTTTTATTATTTATTGAAAAGCTGAAATGTTGTCTAACTGAACTGAAAAATGTTAACAATTGTAGAGAATATTTCACTGAGTGAAATAAATTATTGTTTATAAAAATTGCAATTTTTTTCTTTTCTGAAAGAAAAAAGAGTCAAAATGTAAAAAAAATTAAATATTTAAAAAAAATATTTTACAAATAAATACTACTTACTTTATTATTATATACGTCGAGATAATTTGGAGCACTAAATATTGTTATTAACGATGGGAAGCCCGTTACTTGGGATTTACGGTACATACGGTAACCAGCATCTTGAGCTTCGTGAGCCCTTATAATGCTTAAAAGATTGTTACTTTGGAGAAAATCACAGCATGCCGTATAACTGAAAAAAAAAACAATTAAATTTTCCAAATGTTATCAATAATTTTTTCTTAATAACATATTAAATATAAAAAAAAAATTAGCTAAATAAATTGAAAAAATACAAATAGGTCATGTTTTTTTAAATTAAAAAAAAAAAATTAGAACAAAACTAAAAAAAAAATAAAAAATTTTAAAAATAATTTATTGTTCTTTAAATTCTTAATATTCTGAGCATACATCTTTTAGCTTGTTCAAATTAACAATTATTTGCTTGGCTTTCAATTTGACATATGTTCTCAAATATTAGTTCATATCAAGAAAATAAACTAACGATAAGATATTATAAAAGTCCTATACATATATATATTTCAAAATACAAAACATCACAAGGTAAATTTGAACTTAATGTAAAAGTTTTGTTTACGTTTATAAATTGACTTTAAAATAACATTAAAATTAATAATATTTTAATCAAAAATTACTAAATTCATTTTTATTTGAAAAAATTTAAATAAATATCAATTAAAATTGTAAACAAATAAAATAATAAAATCTAGTAATTTTCTGTCTTTATTTCTTTTTTAAAATAGAGTTTTGAATTTAAAAATTTACATATTGATAAATAATCCTATTACAATTCTTTTATATATAATTTTTGTTAAATAATTTTTATAAATTTATAAAGTTCAATTAATTTTTTTTTTCATTGAATTTAGAATTCAGATAATAATGAATAATTTAAAAAACATAATTATTTTTTAATTGCGCTCATAAAGTTGATTTTTCAAACTGCTTTTAAGTAAACGAAAATTTATTTACAATTAGTATAAAAGAAACCGATGATAAAAGCGTCAATTTTATCCATTTGCTTTTATTTAAATACACACATTTTTCAAAAAGCAAACTCCTGTTTTAAATATATATATTTTTTTTTAATCGAAAATTGGATTCTTTATCATCATAAAAAGCCGTCTGTTACGTAACAGTTAACAACGAAATAACAAGTTTTTCTTTTAAACTAAAAAAATGTTCATTCTTTGTTTTTTACTCCTTTTGCAATTAAAATATAAATTTTTTTTTGATGTAACAGTTCTAAAATTGCTATTTTTATAAATTTTATAAATTCCTGTTCTCTAGTTACAAAATTTTATCTTTTTTTTCGAAAATTTAAAAAAATCATTTTAATTTTGATTAATAATTTAGTAATTATTAAAAAAAATTTTTTTTAAATTTTTTTAAAAATAAGTTTGTCATTAATAATTTAATGTTGTTTCTTTTTTAAAAAAATGAAAAATTAATGCAAATAGTTAAATTCTACTTAATTACTGCAAATAAGATAAATAATAATGAAATAAAAGAAAGAAAAGAAATTTTCAAACAATAATATAAAAATATAGTGTATTAAATTAAATGGAGAAAAAATAAAAACGTAATAAAATAACGTTAAATAAAAAAGAAATAAAAACAGAAAAAAAATAAAATAAAAGTGAAATGAAAAAGAACAGAAAATGATAATAAAAAGCATCTGTAAAAGAATTACCTGTAAAAGTATGAACATCCTCTAACACTGTTGTGAGAAAAATGCTCAGCATTTTTTTCATTTCCAAAATCTTCTAAGGGATCTGACCACAGAATATCGCACATGGGACCGTAAGCAGGTGGCTCTTTGAACCTATCCAACTGTAAAACAAAAATCAATTATTATTTCAGGAAAGTTCAGAAAAACAAATATATATTCGAATTTAAATGGAAAAATTTTACAATAAAAACAAAAAAAAATAAAACCTCACTTTATTGTAATATTTTCCCTTTTGTTTCTTCAATTTAAATATTTAATACCGCTATTTACACAATGTGTAACATTTTCCTTTGTAATGTGACAATTAAAATAATAATAATAATAATAAAAAAAAAAAAATAAACAATTTTGTTAAAAGACAATATTATTTTACATTTATTTTCTATTTAGAGACAAATAGCACAAAACTTTTCTATTGTATAAATAAACAAATAGTTTTATAGACATTTATATATCAAAGCGGATATACACGCAAAAAGGTATCATGGAGTAAATGGACGATCAATACAGCAGGTGGCGGTACATCGAGCTGCCTGGTTCGCTTCCGGCTCTCTACCTCGATTCTCATAACACTCGACCCATCGAACGATCCTTTAATTCTTATTTTCGACCTGTAACACTTTTTTTTTTTTTTTATCCCTCTAACTCACAATCTACGCTGCACCTATTTCCGTATTTCCACCCCCAAAATCCACCCACTTTTTTCTTTCATTATCCCTAATAAGAATAGACACAATATTATATAGACTGACCTGTTGACTTTCTTTTTTCGTATACAGTTAATTACCCCTAAATATATTGGCTATTCGTGAAAAATTAAAGAAGAGGGAAGAATTATACGAATTAGAAGTAATAGCTTAATGCGATTCACTATTATCAGATTTGCGGGAGTTTTCTTTTTTCCATTAGTAATTTTTTTCTTTTTCTTATTTTGTGTTTTACTTATAGTTTCTTCTTTATGAGCATTCACTGAGACGAATAAATATGCTTTAAAATTAATTTCTTAGAATTTTCATTTTAACGAAATTCCATTATCTAGAATTTACTTTTAAACGAATTTTCATTTCTTCAAATTATTATTTAAGAGAAATTTCATTCAATCGAATTTCTATAAATTACAGAATTTTTATTTCATCAAATTTGATTTTGTCAAAATTATTATTTTCTCGAATTTTTATTAGACGTAATAGTCGATTTAAACGAATTTTTATTTCAAAAAATTATTTAGATTTATTTTCAAATATTCTAATTTAAACGACTTTTGATTTAGCAGAATTTTTATTTGACAGAAATTTAAATGATTCAAATTTTTGAATGCCAGAATTTTCAATTTACCGAATCTACATTCGTTTGAATTTTAATTTGCACTAATTGTTATTTGATAGAATCTTTAAAACGCCAAATTTTCATTTGTCCGAAATTGCAAAATGTCCGAATAAATAAACGACAGAAAAATTTCGAAGCGAATTTAAAAAATGATTGACCAATTAGTAAACATCAAAAAAAAAATTGTGAATTGGGCAATTTTAAAAATCGCGATGAAAACTTTCTTTCGATTGTTTGTTTGGACATTTTGCAATTTCGGACAAATGAAAATTCGGCGGTTTAAAGATTCTATCAAATAAGAATTAGTACAAATAAAAATTCGAACAAATCTTGATTTGGGAATTGAAAATTCTGTCAATTAAAAACTTGAATCATTTAAAATTCTGCTTAATTAAAAAATCTACTAAATTTTTGTTCTGCTAAATTAAATTTGGTTAAATAAAAATTCTTTTAAGTTAAAAAATTTGTTTAAAAAAATGTTTGTCGAAATGCTAAATCAGAAAATGAAAATTTGACTAAAATTTAATTAAATGTAATAAAATTCTTTAAAATAAAAGTTCTAACTTATGATTTTTGTAATCATGCACCTCAGAATATTGATTTAAAAGAATTTAATTAATCAAGAATTTCATTTTATCCGAATTTTCATTTCTTCGAATTATTATTCAATAGAAATTCCATTTAACCGAATTTTTATATTACAGAATTGTAACTTAAACGAATTTTCCTTTGACAATATTTTTATTTCATTGAATTTGTCTGAATTTTCATTAGGCAGAATTAGTTATTTAAAAGAATTTTTATTAGACAAAAAGAATATTACAAAAAATTATTTTCTATAGGCGAATTTTCATTTGTTTAAAAATTTAAATTTAAATATATTTTTAAAACGTCAAATTTGACCAAACTGTTATTTGTCCGAATAAAAGTATGTAACAAAAAAATTTCGACTGTTCTGATTGTTTAATAAGAAAAGTCGGCTAAATAAGATTTTTTCTGTAATTTTTTTTTGTTTAATAAAAATTCTTTTAAATAAATATTCTACATAATTAAAATTGCAGCAAATAATAATTCTGACAAATTCAAATTAGTATAAATAAAAATTTTTTCAAATTTTATAGAATTTTTTTTTTTCACCTAATTTGAATTTTTCAATTATTATTAGCTCGAATTTTTATTAGACGTAATAGTCCATTTAAATTATTTTACAGAAAGATTTTTTTTCTAGCTAACTTTGCATTAAGTCGAGCTTAGAGTTTGACAGAATTCTTAGAACGACGAAATTTTTTTTTTACAAGAAATTAATTTTTCCTCATAAATATCTGGAGGAAAAATGTTGGATAAATTCGAAAAATTGAAAATTTGACTGAAAAAAATGTTTACTGAAACGAATTTATATTTGAATAAAATTTTTAAAACGCGATAAATTTTACTAAAATTTTTTTAATTGTCCGAATAAAAAATATGACAGAAAAATTTTTAGGTTCCGAATTTTTATTCGACAGAAATTAACTTTACTCAATTATTATTTTTTTTTTTTTTTAAAGAATTTTAATTTAATCGAATTTTAATTTAGCAGAATTCTCATTCAACAAAATTTTAAATAATTGTTGGGTACATTTTTGTAATTTCAAACAAATGAAAATTCGGATAAATGTAGATTCAGTGAATTAGAAATTCTGTCATTTAAAAATTCGAATCAATTATAATTTTGTTGAATGTAAATTCTGAAAAATTAAAATTCAGTTATAAATTAGAATTCTTTGCAATAAAATGTTGAGTAAAGAGAAATTCTGCCAAACAGTAATTTCGGTAGCTGAAAATTTTGCTATGTAAAAATTCGTCTAAAAAAAAAAATTCCATCAAATGCTAATTCGGAAAATGAACATTCGTCTAAAAAATAATTTTATCTAATGAAATACTTTAAAATTTAATTACGTAAAATTTACTTTTAGCCAAATCTTCATTTCTTCGAATTATTATTTAACAGAAATTCTATTTAATCGAATTTAATTATTACAGAATTGTTAATTAAATGAATTAACGTTTTAATAAAATTTAAAAAATGTGACGAATTTGACCTAAATTTCAAATTGACTGAATAAAAAATGTAACAAAAAAAAATATTGACACTATTTTCAAAATCAGAAACTACGAACAAAATTATGGTTGATTAATATTTAAAATTAGCGCCAAAATTTTGTCTGTTATACTTTTATTCGGACAAATATGTAAGTTCGGTCAAATTTGGCGATTTATAAATACGTTCAAATTTAAATTCAGGCAAATGGAAATTTTCCAATAGAAAAAAAATGTTCTCTTTGTCCAATAAAAATTCTTTTAAATAGCTATTCTGTCTAATAAAAATTATAGCAAATAATAATTCTAACAAATTCGAATTCGTTAAAAATACAAATTTTATTGAAAATTCATTTTAACATTTTAAGAAACAAATGGTTTTTAAAATAAGTTTCAACTATTTTTTTAAAAAAAATCTTAAGGACACTTGACTACTAGATCACGTGATTGAATATACAAATATTCTTCGTAGATTTTTTTTATTTGCATAAAACACTTAAAAGATCGAGTTGAAAATTTGTAAAGTCAAAAATACTGTAAAGCGATTTTTTTTTTTAATTTTTTTTTGACTTCTAAAAAAAAAATTCAGCTCAATCCATCAAATATTTGACGAGAAAATCAACAGAGAATATTTACATACGAAAACACGTGACTTAACAGTCACATGTCCTTAAATTTTTCTACAGGAAGTTACATAAAGTGTGATAATAAGATGCAGAATTTTTGTATAGATATATACATATATACATATATGTAGAAAAGTATTTGAGAATCTCATTTATAAATTTACATTTCGCCCTATATTTATCTTTTTTTTTGTATTAGACGATTTTAAATAATATTTGTAAAGAAGATTTATCCCTTATATATATATATTGGATCAACAAGTTCTATATATAGGAACTTACAATTTGTAGAGTGCGATAGTGCACGTTGTAAATAAAAATTATATAATTTATATGACAAACATTGCCATACGGATAGAGACTTTGTTTATGTTCTTCATAATTTAAAAATTATCAATATTATTTATGTGTATACTCACGGAACGTATGTCGTCTAAATTGTGAATTTCCGGCGAAAGGCCACCATGAACACAGAGAAATTGCTGGTTCATGAGAGCAGCAAGCGGCAGACAGTCGAATGCGTCCATACATGCATCATACACCTTCTCTGAGTATTTTATTTTACCTGCAAAAGAAAAGTAATAAAAATAAAACTTATTTTTAATAAATCTTTATAAACTTTAATTCTATTAAAGATCATTAACACAATTTAACAAAATTAAATTGAATTTTTAAATTAGGAATCGAATGAATTGACAGTTGTACAATTATACCAACTATGTAAAACAAAACTATAGACAATATGGCGCTAAATTTAAAACATGTTCAACTAAAATTACGACAATTCATAAAATTATAAACAAACAATTTTAAGGTTTTCTACATTTATTTTTTTTTTGTTTTTAATAATCATTAATTTCGAAAAAAGTCAATTAAACATTTAATTAAATTTCAAAATGTCGACTAACTATAATTTCGAATTTCTAAAAGTTCGAATTATAAAAAGATTGAATTTTTTGAAATTCGAATTATTAAAAGTTCGAATAATCAAGAAATCGAATTTTCAAAAGTTTGAAATATTATTGAAAGTTTTAATTATCAAAAATTGAATAATTAAAAATTTCGAATTAACAAAATATTAAATTTTTAGAAATTCGAATCATTACAAGTTCGAATTTTCAAATGTACAAATTATCAAAAGATTGAATTTTGAAAAGTTCCAATTACCAAAAAAAAAAAAAAACGAATTTCTGAAAGTTCCAATTACCAAAAGATTGAATTTTTAAAAATTCGAATTACCAAAAAATTCTTATTTCTAAAAGTTTGAATTATCAAAGAATCGAATTTTTAATAGTACGAATTACTAAAAGATCGAATTACAAAATGTTCGAATTATAAAAAAATTGTTAATTTAACTGTTGCAGGTAAATCTTTTTTTTCGTTTAATCAAATTCGTATTATTAACGATCACAATATTCCGAGCAACTATTTTATTTTTAGATACGAATTTGATTAATTTTTCAAAATGCTATATTAGATCCGCCATTTTGAATTTTGAAAATCTTAACTACCTTCAACTAAAACTGCTTAATAATTAAAATTGCAATTAACAAAAAATTAATCATTATTAACTTTAAAATAAACACCAGAGTGACTACAGAATAATTTATTATTTCACAAAAGTTTCTTTAATTAGTTTCATAAAAATCTAAATTACCTTTACTCGAACTCTGATTGTTTAAATGAATGAAATATTTTTTTGTATATAACATTGAATAATCGGTTATTATATATTTTTTTCACAGAAAATGTAATAAAAATTAAATCTACATTTAACAATTGAATCAGATTTTCAATAAAATATGAAATTCGTGGATTTTTTTTTGCGGTAGAGTTTTATTTTATTTTTTTATTTAACTTTGTGAAATTTTACAATATAGCAATAAGTCATTGGACTCGAATTTAAAATTAAATAAATTCTTCACATTTTTGTTAAAAATAAAGTGGTTTTTTAAAATTGATAATAAAGATGAAATTGTATCTAACATTCATTGCATTTTTGAAATATTTCCCGCATCAATTTTTTATAATTTATATTATAGAATATAATTTTTAAAAAATATAATAAAAATATTTTAAATTTCGATAAAAAATCCTCATAAATAAAATAACCTCAAGCAAAAAATTAAATAAAAAAAATAAAAAATTGACGCTTCCTCTATATTGTTTATTAGCTGTAAATATTAAGGGGATGAACAACTGAAATTAGAAACCTATTAAAATTTTCGTTGTTATTAGGCAATAATTTTTTTTCCTGACATTATTTAGAATCTAAAAATGTTTTACGTTATCGAAATTAAAAAAAAAAATTTTTGACTTAGAAAATTAATGTTTTGAAAAAAAAATTAAATCCATACAATTGTTAAAAATCATTAAAAAAGTGTGAAAATAATTGACGATGAAAAATATTAAAAATTGTGTAATAGAAGAAGTTCAATTTTAAAAAGAATTATTATGAGTGAAATTTTAATTAATCAAAATTTACATTATACAAAGTTGTAATTTTTTTTTTTTTTGAACTTTTGTTAAACCTAGAATCTTATTTCTTTATGGAAAATTGAAGACAAATAATTTTTGGCTATTTTACATTATTTAACAATTTTTTAGAAATTTTTTTTTTTTAAATTAAATTTTTTTAAAACCCATACGATTGATTGTTCAGAATGATTGGTTTCAAATTTCAATTTTGCTCAATTTTAAATTCTATTACAAAATTTTTTAATAAATAAATATTTTTTCTAAATTTTCATATCGTAGCATTATTTTATACTTTTAATAAAGTCGAAAAATAAATTGACACCCTTAAAAAAAACGAAAAATTTCACTTTTACCTCCCCTTAAGAAGATAAAAATTTTAGAAAATTACTTACATTCTTGTTTAAATGTGAAGTATTCCGTAAGATGACGACACTCATGGTTACCTCTAAGGAGGTAGAGTGTGGTTGGATGGCACAGTTTCAATGCCCACAGGTACAAAACGCACTGCAACAAAAGAATTCTAATTCATAAAAATGAACCAAAAAATAAAAAATTCATCTATACATTTTAAAAATAAAAAAATTTAAATTTCTAAAAAGAATGTCAATTAAAAAAAAAAAAAAAAATCAATTAACAATCGAAAAGAAAAGTTAAAGGAAATATCAATTAAAAAAAAAAATTTAATTAACCCAAAAAAAATTTAATATCGCAACATTCTTTACTAATGGACATATATATATTTTATATAACCAAAAGGAAATGAAAATCAATATTTTATTTGGGTCTTGCTTGAATTGCATTGAAAAAAAATATATAATATTAAATGAAATCGCCTCATCACTCATATGTACCGGACAGGAATTGAATCGAGTAAAGGAACACATTTAAAATTTAGTTGCAGGGAAAAGATTTATATGAAACAATTATTACAAGATTGAAGAGACATTTGGTACAGAAAAAAAAAAAAAAAAAGAAAAAAATTCGATAAATTTCAATTGGTGAATTATGAGTATAGGTACTTATAGTAGAAGTGCAGTTGAAAACTTTTGCCAAGACAGGTTCACACGTATTGTATAAATAGTCGTGTCATTTAAGATGAATGAGAATAAATAAAATTTGAGCGAGCTCGTTTTGGCAAAAGGAGAGGGCACAGTATATAGTGTGTGTGTATATATGCAGTTGATAGAAGAAGTCGTATAATCTAGATTTTACACTCTTACCTCAATACTGAAGTAACCTCTATCAACATAGTCACCCAGAAAGAGGTACTTTGTTGTTGACGGTGGTCCGCCAACCTCAAATAATTTCATCAAGTCATAAAATTGGCCGTGAATATCACCACAGACTGAAAATAAAAATTTATACACTATTTAACACCTAATCAAAGACTCTTAACATAATCGTATAAGCTGTTATTATTGTTATTTTATTTCCATTAAAAGAAAAACATAAATATTCTTCACATTATTATAGACCTGATGGGATTTTTGTCGTTTCAAATTAAAAATTATCAACTTTTTATTTAACAGAATTTTATAAAGGAGATTTTATAATCAACCGAATTTTTATATCGGAGAATTTCTATTTAGCTAAATTCTAATCTAATAGAATTTTATATTTAACTGAACTTTTGTAGAGCAAATTTTTTTTTTTTAATACATCGAATTTTCAAATAATATATACATTTTCCATTAAAAGGAATTTATGTAGAGCAAAATTTTTATAAAACAAAATTATTTTTAAATTAAAAAATTTTTTTTTTATTTATTTATTAACGGGACTAATTAATTAATTAAGGAGGTTCAACCCATTAACGTAAGCTCAAACTAAAAAGTAGTTTTTAACAGAACTGAAAATATATTTAAAATTTATTACACCCGAATTAGACAGATGCAATAGAAAAAAAATTATTTTGAGTTAAAATTTGTTGTTAAAATAATAATTAAAAAACATTTTGTATTTTTTCTTAAAAGTTAGTGAAAAATTCTAATTTTTATCCAATTTTTATAAACAATGGCTCAATTATCTCTTTGAAAGATTCACTACAATTTTGATTTTGTGTTTTTGTTAAATAATGGTTTGTTTAAAAAATATAAAAAATAAAAATTTTATTGGTTTATTAACTTTTGAACAAAATATTTTAGTAAAAATTTTATTTGTTTATTAACTTTTGAACAAAATATTTTAATAAAAATTTTATTTGTTTATTAACTTTTGAACAAAATATTTTTAATAAAATTCAACAAACAGAATTGTAGAAAATCTTTCAAAGAGCAAAATAAGCTATTGTTTGTAAGAATTGGATAAAAATTAGAATTATTCACTAACTTTTAAGAAAAAATACAAAATGTTTATTAATTATTATTTTAACAACAAATTTTAACTCAAACTAATTTTTTTTTTTAAATTGTACAATTGGATCTGTCGGATTTGGGTGTAATAAATTTTAAATATATTTTTAGTTAACTGTTAATAACTACTTTTTAGTTTGAGGTTATGTTAATGGGTTGAACCTCCTTAATTAAAAAAAAATTCTGTCCATTTGTGCTACTTAATATCTGCTGTAAAAATTATTTTGAAAAATAATTAGAACTCGAAATTCAAAAAAAAAACTTTTCATGCTCAAAAATGTTACCTATAAGTAATTAAAAATAAACAATTGGGCTAGTCCAGCACAAGAAGAAATAATCATATAACATTTACAAAAAATAAATATTTTTGAAAATAATTCAATTTTAAAATTCAAAATAACCTTATTTTTTTCCAAAAATATTCAAAAATTATTATTCTACAAAAACAGTAGAATCTTTTTGTGCTAAACAAGCACAATTTAGCACACAAAATTAGTTTTTAAAAAATAATAATTTTTGAACATTTCTCGGTAAATTTTTTTTTAAATTTAAAATTGAATTATTTAAAAAATTATTAATTTTTCGTAAATTTTATAATTGTATCATTTTGTGTTCGACTAGCACAATTCAGAATAACATTTTTTAAAAAAAAAATAATAAATTTTGAAAAAATTCAAAAAATATTTTTGAATTTTAAAATTGACTCATATTTAAAAATTTGCAATTTTTCTCGTAAATATTATTGTTATTTCTTTTTGTGTTGGACTAAAACAATTATTCAGCACAAAATTTGTTTTAGAAAAAATAATTTTAAATATTTGTTGGTTAAAATTATTATTTTTTTGAATTTAAATTCGAATTATTTTGAATAATTTATTATTAAAAATTTTGAAAATTGTTAACAAAATAATATTTTGCAGCACAAATTAGCACCAAATTGGCTAAATATAAATATAATTTTGATGTTTAATAAAAAATCAGGATATTTAAAAATTTAGCAAAAGAGAAATTCAGTAAAATGAAAAACTGGTTAAATAAATGTTCGGTTAAGTAGAATTTCTATTTAATGAATATTTCGTTAAATAAATGGTACTGTTAAATGAGAATTTTAAGTTATAAAAATTCATTCATATATAAAATGTTCTATTTAATTAAAAATTCGGTGAAAATAAAATTTCAATTTAATAAAAATTTGTTTAAATATATAAAACTTCTGATAAAATTATATTCTATTAAAGAGAAATTTTTCTTAATAAAAAATTTTGATTAAATAAAAATTCTGTTAAATTCACATCAAAATATTGAAAAAAATAAAAAAAAAATGGAAAAATATCTTAAATTCCATTATGGAAACATTAATTTGAAAAAAATTTTCTCGTCTCAGAAATTTCTCATTATTTAGTAACTTACTTATAAATGTTTTCTTTTAAGAATCGATTGGTTTGTAAAGTTGTATAGTTTTCTATATTTTGATTTGAAAAGTTTGTACAATCAAAATTACTTTTCTTATTTGAGTAGGTACTTTTTTTTTTGCAAGAAAATAATAATTTGAAAACTGTATATACATATATATATGTTTGCAATGTTTTCTTTCAAAAAGTTTTTACATAAACAAAACATATTTCGAAAATTGTTTATTTGAAAAAAAAGTATATAAAAAGTTAAAAAAAAAACCAATTTTTTCTCAAAATTTATTTAAATTTATTTATTATCTATAAATAAATTAAAATAAATTTAAATAGTAAATAAACGTTAATAATTTTAACGTGTTTTTTTTTTTATTCTTTTTTGGAGTATGGATATTTTTATCTGACAATTTAAAGTGACACTGTTGAGAAAAGAAACTCTATAGGAACGAAAATAGACTCTTAATGCAGGATTGAGAAAAAAAAAGTAATACAAAAAAAAATGACCCACGACGAACTTTCGAGGCTTGTCGATTTTTTATTGATGTTCTTTCCAGTCGACAAGTCTTAGGAATCTATGAAAGAAACTTTACAATTTCTTTAGATTTTATTATAAAAACATTTTTTGTTTTTTTATTTTATTTTTTGCTTATGTAAATATTTTCAAAAAAAAGAGGTTTTTAAATAAAATTTTTCTATATCATTAATATTTCAATTTGCATTTGAAATAAAATAATAATATTTAATAAAATACATATTTTACGAAAGGGCATTTTTGATTTTTTTTAAGCCTCTATACCTTGTAAATAAATAAATAAATAATAATAATATCATATGAATAATACTTTAATGAGAAATTATTATTCCACATTAAAAACTTTAGTACAAAAACTAATAATCCAACGACGGGACAATTAATAATTACTCTCTATCAGTGAGCAATCGAACTAATTAAAATTTCATTAAATTCTTTTTTATTTCACCTTGTGTATACATATAGTTATTATGGAACAAAATATATATATTCGTTAATTATATGTACTCGCAGAAAGATAGAAGAGAAGTTGGTGCATTTAATGATAATTTCATTTTGAAAGAGAATATATTTCATATTTTAATTATACGACCATAAAAGACGATGCGATTTCAAAACATTTTATATAATAAATTAATTATATTATCCTCAAACTGATAATTATACTCTCAAAATCTAAATTATAGTGTCAAGTGGGTCACATTATTAACAATTTTAACTGTATATAATTATTACTCGAATATTTAAATTTGATTTAGTAGTTCTAATTTTTTTTTTTTTTTTTACTGTAAAATTTTCATGAAAAATGACGAAAAATTAACATCGACATTTTTAATACAGTAATATACTTAAGAAAACTTTTTTCTTAAAATTTTCTTAGAAACTATGCTGTCCCCATTTACCTCGAATTTTATGAAATTTTCTAAATTTTGGGGTAAATGGGGACAGTCAGTTTCATGAGTTTAAAGCTTATCTAAATTTTTTTCTGCTGCATAAAATTAATCCTAGGAATGTAAATAACAACTTAAAAAAAATAAACCCGCAAATATTACCTTTTAAAGGAAGAAACTTACGTAATTTGTGAAAAATATCGAGTTTGTCCCCTTTTACCCCAACTGACCCTTTACACTTATTTTTTTACGAGGACAATTTAGGACTTACAATAAGTAAATATTAACTTATTCAGATTTAGAGAGTATAATTAAAACTTAAATAAAACAAAAAATTTTAAAGAACAATATTTTACCATTTATTCAAAATGGCAAAAAAACTGTAAATGTTAATTGTGAATAGAAAATAATAATAATATAGAAGTGCGATTCCAGGTGAGATTTTAACTTTTTCGGAGTAGGTTAACCGATTGCAATGAAACTTTGGAATTTTGTTATATATAGTAAGACTAATCTTTAACGTAAATTTCAGCTTAAAATATTTGTTAGTTTACGAGATTTGCAATAATAACAAAAAAATTTAAACTTAATCTTCCGTTCTAATAATCGGATTGAGGTCTACTTTTTTTTAAAAATGTCAAGGAAAATGAGAGGAATAAATCTCTTTCAGAACAATTTTTTATAATTTTACAACTAAAAAAATTATTAAATAATAATTGAATAAATTTTACGCGACAATCTAAAATTCAATCACTTAATCGCTAAAATGATTTTGTCGATGAAAGTAAGCAAACGTTATTATCAACTGGTCTGAATTTTTATTAAAAAAAATTTAAACAATTAATGATTTTTTCATTTTTTATTATTTTCTCGTCATCAGCAGACCCTAATACGTGTTCATATCAAATTTGAATCAAATTCATTAATAAGTCGAAGATACGATGATTTATGTTTTAAAAGCTTAATTAAATTTGACAATTTAAATTTCTCAGTTTTTGGTCTCTAGAAACTAAACTATTCGTTTTATTAGAAAATTTAAAAAAGAAAAAAGATGCGCCTTTTCATTTCCTATAATGTACCTAGTATTTTTCAAAATTCAAAATTTTGAATTTCAATTTTTATCATTTTTTCGAACGTTTGACTGGCTCTGCGGAGTTTCAGTATATAAAATTAGTGTCCCACTTTTTATAGATTGAAATTTTTTAATTTTAATTATTATTATCGCATATTAACATTATTATTATTTAAAAAAAAATTTAAATTTAGAAAATCATTCTAATGCACTATTTAAACGAAAGTTTTATCCTTTATCCATGGAATAAATAATAATAATAATAATTAACTTAATTACCACTATTGAAACACTTAAAAGTTAAAAGACTGCAAACTTTACGATAAGAAAATGTTAATTTTTATATGTCGTGGAAAAAATGCCTCTAAAAGTAAAATTTAATATTAAATTTTCTTTTTAATTTAATAAAATTTATAACTATGTATAAAATAAAAATAATATTAAAATAAAAAAAAAAAAATTTTTACTTCCATTTTTTGTTGTACACACATATTTAATTTTGTGAAAATAATTATATTTTCAGTATATAACAATTTCATGTTTGAAAAGTTGTTATTGGAATTATTATCAGGTATGTGACGCCAATTTATAATTATTTTTATAACTTTGAAACTTACCAGTGACAGGTGCCTCGATATCTATCATCGTTCTTTCCGAACGAAGAAGAGCAGCTCCATCATTAACAATTCGAAGTGCTGCAGCTTCATCTATTCTACCTTCAAGAATAAAATGTTGCTTAAGCACTTCAGGTCGTGGTCGCCCTGTTCGCGTGTCGAAGACCTCTGCTATTGTTAGTTTACGAGATGGAGGAAATGGTACGCCTGCAATAGAGAAAATAAAAAAATTATTAATTGTCTCGCAATTTTTGTCAATTACAATAGTTTAATATTAATAAATCATTTTTTCTATACAATTATTATAGTCATATTAATTTTATTATTATCATTATTATTATTATTATTATATAATGTACACTTTTGTCCATTTCCAACTAATGTGTTGTCATAGCAAAACGTGCGTTAGAAAAGGACAAAAAAAGGTAGGCATATATGGCCACGAGTGTACATAATATTATTAATATTCAATTAACAAAAAAAAAATTTACTTTACACAAATTGAAATGGCTTAAACTTTAAAATTTTCTTTATTTTCTTTAGCTCTTATATTTTAGAAAAGTGATATATGTTAATTCGATAAAAATTTTAGAAATTGTTTTTCGTTTTTTGTTACTTGTTTTATTTTAATCAGCTGTTATGGCTGCGCGCGACGTTTCTTATTTTTCAGTGATACCAACATGATGCATGAATTAAATATGATAAACATAACCTCACTCTTCAGAATTATGTTGGTATCACTGACCAAAGAAAAATAAGAAACGTCGCGCGCAGTCATAACAGCTGATTAAAAGAAAACAAAATAAGTAACGAAAAAAAAAACAAATTAACACCAATCACCCAAATTTTCTTTTTGCATATTAAAGTTGAAAAAATAAAGAAAATTTTTTTAAAGCCATTTTATTTCGTGTAGGTAGTCGTTGAAAAGTGTATTTTTTTCAATGGTTTATTGTTGTATCTTTTAAATAAACAACCCGGTAAGAGGAGTTTAATGTCATTTTTTAATTTTCATGATTTAATTCCGTCGGAGTTAATTCATGACTGTATACATTTTTATTTTTTCCAATATTGTTGATGAAAATTGTAGATATATTTTAATTCCGATAAAATAGAAAGAATTTGATATCAATATTCTATTTAATAACACAAAAATTTGAAACCAATTGAATTCATTTTTTGACATAAATATTGTTTATACATTTCACTGGAAATTGTTTTTACTCAAAAAAAAGGTTTTTTAATCTGTGTATCAATAAATATAACACCAAGTTTCATTTACATTGATGTGTACTTCGAAAAGCGATAAAAAAAATTCCGGAAATGGCATATATATATAAATAATAAACAAAATAAATAGATCACTTTAAAATTATTCAAACGATTCAACCCCTTGACATAACCTCAAACTAAAAATTGGTTTTAATAAGGGTGTTTTCGGCATTCACTCAGAGTTAACTCTAGAGTTAACAGTGGTGCTCAATGATATTATCTTTGAAAATTTATTTACCTAAATAAAAAAATTGATTTTCTATTTTTATCACCCTGAGTTTGAAGTTAGTTGTCCTTGTTTGCTTACTTTTTTTAATTTATACGTATTTTTTGTTTTTCATTTAAAAATGGAACATATTTTTGCTACCCATAAACGTGTTATTTTTTTAAAGTTTATAGTTTTCAAATTTTTCATTATTTCCCTAACTTTAATTAATCTGAATTGTTTAAGGAACTAGATTATTTATTTTAATTAAAGTTGTTTTTTATAAATAAAAAGTTAAAATAATTTTTAATAAAAATAAATTATTATGTTTCAATTTACACTTTTCAAAACAAACAATCCGTTCACAAATTTTGTCGGCCATTAAAGGTTAGGACTGACCCTTTTTCTTTACTCTCGCAAGAAAACAGAGTTAACTCTGGGTCATCTTGTAATAAATTTTTGGGGACTTTTATGAAATCTAGAAACAAAAAATTTTATTTTAACATTGCATTACTAGAATAAAAGGCCCGTTTCACATGTTGTTACAATTGCAAACCCTGCGCCAATCAAAATGAATCGTCTATGCCAAATTGCCAATCAACAACGTTCACAACCAACAGACGAACTGAAAATCAAAATTTACATTTGAGCACCACTGCTAACTCTAGAGTTAACTCTGAGTGAATGCCGAAAACACCCTAAATAAAACTAATTAAAATTAATTTTACTAAATTATAAAGTTGTAAAATTTTTAAAATACAATTATTTTGTATCATTTTGTTATAATAATTGTTTAAATTTAGTAAACAATTATAATTTTTATCGAATTTCTTAGAAACAATAGCTCAATTTTGTGCTTTGAAATATTTTCTAAAATTCTATTTCTAAGTTTTTATTAAACCTAAATAATATTTGATTTCAAAAATATAAAAATTTTCCTTGTTCATAATAACATTAAAAAAATATATATTGTTAATAAAATTCAATAAACATAATTGTAGAGAATAATTCAAAACACAAAATAAGGCTATTGTTTGTAAAAATTGGATAAAAATTATAATTCTTTACTAACTCAAAAAAAATTAAATAATTATTATATGACAATAAATGGTACAAAATAATTTTGTTTTGAAAATTTTTAAAATGGATTTTTTCTAATTTATAGTAAAATTAATTTTATTTGTTAAAACCAATTTTTAATTTGAGGTTATGTCAATGTGCTGAACCTCTTTAATTTTATATATATACAAAGGTCACTGCAGTTAAAACTGTATACAAAGAGTATTATATGTATCTTCAAAACTTATCTTAAAACTATATAAAAGTTAGTTATTTTCTATCCTTCTTTCTTGCTTTCTCTTTGCGCAAATATGTAGCTAAAGAGTTCTTGTATGTATGTATGTATGTATGTTCAACGTACAATGAAACTAGGAAACATAACGACACTTCCTGTTCCCATTTCACAGTTCCTTTACTGTCTATATTGTAGTTTTGCTTCACTAGGTTTATTTATCTATAAAGTACTAGTAAATGCAAAACTTGTAAATTCTCTCAAAATTTCACTTCATTTCAAACAAACTACGTGAATATTATACATCAACTAACTTTAAATGTCTTTTTTTTTATGAATTGTTGAAGCTTATTTTATTTCACTTAACCTAAAAATTAGATTTTTAATAGTAAAAAAAAGCTTCAAAATTTAAGAGATTAAAATAAAAAAACACATAAACACGCTATATAAACAGTTCTTCATACTTGAATTTAATAGATGAATCTGATTGAAAAAAAATTTCTAATTTTTTTAATAAACATAAAAAGTAATAGAAAAAAACTAAGTTTATTTTTTGTTGATTAATTTTTACGAGGCTTTTAAATGGAAAACGTGTTTAAAATTTAAGAAAAAAACTAATTTCATTTTTGTTGAAAATAATTTTAAGATCAGTATAAAAATAAGTTAATGAAGAACTTTAAGTTTAAAATGTTTCTGACTGAAATCAAATGTTAGGTTATGTTGGATATACTAAAGTGAATTTCAAGCTTATTAAATCGAAAAAAAAGTTTAAAAATTATTAAATGAATCGAATGTACACTGAAAAATGGGTTTGGTATTGACAACCAAACGTTTGGTTGGTATTTAAGCAATCAACAAAATTTTGGTTGTCCCAATTAAACTTTAGTTAGGACAACAAAAATCGTTTTTTTCTAAATTTGGTTGTGTCAAACAATTTTTGGTTGAGACAATTAAAATTTTGTTGATTCAACAAAAAAATTTTGGTTGCTTAAATACCAACCAAACGTTTGGTTGTCAATACCAAACCCTTTTTTCAGTGTATCAAGTTTATTTTCAGTTACGACAATTTATAAAATTAAATAGAATTTTTAGGTTATGAATCAAGTGAATTGAGAATGGTTCGAGTATACCAACGATGTAACACTAAACTATATAGATAATGGAGCGAAATTCAAAAATTATTGAAATAATGTCGCAATTTATAAAATTAAATAGGATAATTTTTAGGTTAGAAATCTTGTAAATTGCCAATAAGAAGTACCAACCATGTAATACAAAACTATATAGATAATGGCGCTAAATTTAAAAATTCTTGAAATAAAATAACTTATTAAAAATTCATTAAACTTTTAATTATGTGTTCACTGTTTAATAATTCATTATTGGCTAAATTAAAATTTAATAGAAAATATTTTTAAAAATTTAACTTAAAAGAGGAAGAATTAATTTTAAAAAATTATGTTATGTAATCATAATATTTACACTTTTGTTATTAAATTATTTATAATTATTAATTTCTCAATACCAATACAGTATAATATCGCTAATCTCACGCGCGTGGAACATATTTAAATATTTCTTCACGGCAACAATTTGACATAATTTACAGAAGCATAAAATTTTTTTTCCTTGTCACATAATTTTTAGCACTAAATTATATTGTGTCTCAATCTGTCATTATATTCTAGTTCGAGGTTCAGAAACCTTATGAAAATTTTGTGAATTAAGAGATTTTGCCAAAAAAAAAAAAAAAAAAAATTCGGTTGAGTAGAAAATTTTAAATATATAACTTCTAAAAATTCTAATAGTAAAGATAACAATTCTCGGTTAAAATTAAATTCTCTAAATTTAAAATTTTCATAAATGAAAATCCGAAGAACAAGAGAGAACAAATTTATATATAATATTATTGTATTGTATTTTGTATATCAAAATTGTTCAATTCAATTTTATTGACAATACACAATTATAAATTCAGCTTTCAATGAATGATTTTATTTTTCAATTTTTAAAAATGATTTCCAAATATTTAATTCTAAAATTTATAACAGTAAATTGAGTTTGAAATAAATTTTGAAATATTCACAAAGAAATTATCAAATCATTCGTAAAATATCTCACTATATATTTAAATAAATATTTCACTAAATATAGTTTGAAAACAGTTACAAAATATTTTCGGAAAATTTGACGAAAATAGATGGGAGAATGTTCAAATTAATCAAATAAGACCAACTAATTTATTATTTCGGACAACTACTTTAGTGTATGATATAAGTAACTGTTGACAGTATCAAGAGCAAAAATTAAAGTTTCAAATTATAAATTCTAAAGCTGTAGTATTGCCAGGAAAGACATTTGCACCACACACACACATACACACATACATATGCAATTATCCGATGATGTAATACCTCATGCAAATATACTTATAGGCTAATAAACCTCAGAAAAGAAGTTTCAGAGACAAATATATACATGAAAAAAAAATTGAAAAGCAATAATAAAATTTTACTAACAAAAGAAAAATAAATTTATCTTTTTTTTTTGACAAATTATTCATAATATAACTTTTGATATTAAATAATAAACGCAAATTAAATACGAAATATTTACAATAACAAAAAAAAAAAATTATGATCATGAGAATAATTTTCAATGACATATTCGTGTGAATTAAAATTTATGGTATCTAATTTTGTTCAATGTCATGAACTTTGGCCAAAGTCCGATTCAAATTTGAACTAATACGAATGAGTATGAAAGGGGAATGTTAAATATATTTCCATCATAATGCCTGTGACATAATTCAATCCATTATGCTTTTGCGTTAAAAATACTGTTCACAAAGTTAAATAAATAATAATGTGATGAAAAATGTATTCTTTTTTTTTTTTTTTGCTTTAATAAAAAATTCTTTTCAATTTTTTATAAAAGTATAGAATATTAAATAAAATTACGTCAGAATTGAAAACAAAAAATCTCTCACCTTATATTTTCTATGCACGAGAATGATTGTTTTTGTTTATTAAAGAAAAATTTGGAAAAAAAAATATTTCGACAAAATTGATGAAAAAGGAATTTTTGGAAACGCATAAATGTGCTCGAAAATTAATTAATTTTTTTTTTAGAATTTTTGTTCGACAGAATTTTATTACCTAGAATTTACTTTTCCATAAATTTTTATTTCTTTCGAATTACTATTTAACAGAAATTCCATTTAACCGAATTTCTACATTACAGAATTGTTACTTAAACGAATTGAAAGAAATTTTTTTTTTATTTTCTCAAATTTTTATTTTATCGAATTTGAATTTTGACAAATGCCTTAATTTTTATCATCGGCAAAATAGTTATTTCGAAGAATTTTTAATTCTTGAAAAAAGAATATTAGAAAAATTATTTTCTACAGCCGAATTTTTATTTGTTGCAATTTACATTTGAAACAATTTTTAAAACGTGCCGAATTTGAACGGACTTTCATTTGTCTTAATAAAAAAATAATTAGAAAATTTTTGGTACTAATTTTAAATATTAACCAATCATAATTTACAAAATTTACATTGATTTGTTAATTTAAATATTAGAGTCAAAATTTTTTTGACACATTTTTTATTCGCATCTTTAAAAAGTAAATACGAAAGTGAAAATTAGGTTGGAATAAAATTTGTTTTGATATTCTTTCAGTAGAATAAAAATTCTTTTTAATATGACTATTTTGTGTAATGCGAGAATTTGAGGAAATAATAATTTTTATTAAAATTTAAATTCAATAAAATAAAAATTCTGTAATTAATGATAATTCGTTCAAGTAATGATTTTTTCTTGCTTATAAAAAAAATCCTTTTCACTCTTTCATAAAAGTATGTTAAATAAAATTTTGCCAGAATTCATGTCTATAATAACGAAGCTGAAGTACACAAATTTTGTAATAAACGATTTTTAAAGAAATAATTTTTGAAAATAAAAAATTCTATAAGTCTTTGCCAAAAAATATTTTTTTTATAATTAGTTGATTAATGAAAACTACAAGAAATTTTTTTTTGGACAAAAAATTATAGAATTTTTCATTTTAAAAAATTATATATTATTATTTATTTTTTTAAAAATAAAAATCGATTACCGGCACAGAAATCTACATTATCGACTGATGGTAAAAGCAGGAAAATGTTGATATAAAAAAATGACCGATCTAGAAATCTAAATTACCGACTGATGATTAAGTGGAAGAATTTTTTTTAATTTTGAAATTTCTTTTACTATCAGTCGGTAATGTAGATTTCTGTGCCGGTAATCGATTTTTATTTTAAAAAATAAGTTTTAACCTTGTATTTTAAAAAATTACTTTTTTCGATAATATTGAAGGTTTTTTTTAAACATTTGTGGTCCCCTATGTTTAATATTTAATAAGTGCCATACGGCATCAAAAAATAGACAAAATTTGCTGTAATTTATGCCCATATAGAGCTTTATTTAATTAAATCTATTCTGGGCAGAGGGGGGGGGGGTGTCTTTTTAATAAAGAATGACCCACAAAATAAAAAATTTTTTAAGAAATAATAAAAATCATACCTTCTTCAATTCGATCACTTATAAGTGATTGAAAATCCTCAATACTTTCCACACTGTTACTTGAAATATCCACTGACGATTTTCTTTCTAATGACTCGGATTCTGAATCATTACTACTACTACTATCACTACTACCACTGATAGTAATAGTAGTGTCATGTGACTTGATCCAATAAGTCTCATTTGATGAATCGATGTCAGACTGTGAACTAGATAATATTTCATTTGCATTCTTCAAAGTACTGCTCACCTTAGAAAAGGAAAATTCAAAATCATTTGATACATTTTCATTCTTCATTTCTAATTCAATATCTGACGATGCAGTTTCTTCAAATTTTATTCCCTCTAATTCTAATTCATTTTTTGTCGATGATGATTGATTGGAATTATTTTCAACATTAGAAAATCTAGAACGTGGCGAGAACCATAAATCACTACTAATATTTAATGATGACGTTTCTTCCTTTAATAAATGAAAACTATCTTCATCGAGGGATTTTGATTTTTCCAATTTTATAATATTCAAATCAGCTTCCGATGTTGATTCTTTTGTAAAGAAAATATATTTTTCAAATATACTCGATTCGGAGAGTGATTTATTTTTATCGATAACACCAAAAATGCATTTTTCCTCGACTATATAAGGAGGAATGGAACACTCAAAATTATTTTGACAATCACGAATTACACTTTCATTTTTAATATCATCTTCTGATTTTAAATCGTCTTCAGCAATTTCTTCACTTTGTTTTCTATTTTTTTCTTCTTCTTTTTCATTTTCTTCCTCTTCTTTAATGAATGTATCACTGTTAATCATATTTTTACTACTGGAATTTTGTTTAGAATTTTTTGAATTTACATTTGATTTAGTGAGAATTACGTGTAATTCCGAAACCTCGTGAATACTATTTTCCAAAATGGAATTTTCTTCTTCTTCTTCTTGTTCTCGAGTTTCCGGAAATAAAGGCTTCTTATTAAATTTTGACCAATTCATTCAACTTCAACACTTTTTTTTTTTTTATTTCTGTTTTTTATTTGCACAATTTCCCTCGACGATTTTATTATTAAAACTAAATTAACTTTCAAGTGAAATATGATGTATTTATAATATATATATATATAAGAAAAATATTTTATTACACCTTGATCACCTTTTCCAATTAAATTTGAAACTGAAGCTTACTATTGATATAAAAGTCTTATTATAGTCTTTCGTTTGTTTACATTAAACTCTTGAAAAGAATATTACCAATACCTTTGCAAGAAATTCACAGATAATATTGTGAAAACGTCTAATTAGTTTTTCTTTTCGATTAATCCCTCTTTCCCTCTTGCTCGCTCTTTAGTCAAGAAAGAGAGGCCCTTGAAATTTTCAATACTTTCATGCAAACACAATTTATCAGAATAAGATATTCATACAATTTTTGTTTTTTTTTTTTTATTAAAAATTTAAAAAAAAATTTATTCATATTTAAATATTAATTAAAGAATTTTCAATTGAACATAAATGAGTAATATTTATATTACTCATTTATATTTATATTACTATAATATTTATATGTATTATTAAATACATATTTTGTTATTTCAACACTGGAAAAAAAATTATTTGATTCAAATAATCAGTTACTTGATTATTATAAAATAAATATTTATTTGCATCAAATAATTATTATTTGAGATGGTTTTTTTTTCAAATACAGAAATTATTGGTTCAAAAACAGTTTATTTAATTAAAATAAAAATTATTTCGTTCAAGTAAATATTTATTTGATAATAGTCAATTAATCGATTATTTGAATCAAATAAATTTTTTTTTTCAATGGAGAAGAGGCGCATGATTATCCCATAAAAATAAGTAGTTAAAATTTTCATTTTAAAGAATATTTTATTAGATATAATTATTTTTTTAGACAAATTGTTATTTTTCCAATTAACATTTGACAGAATAACTTTTTAAACAAATTTTTACTTAATATAATTCTTATATATCGAAATTTTATTTGGCCGAATTCTTAAAACGCCGAATTTTTATTTGTCCGAAATTGCAAATGGCCGAACAAACAATCAATTTTGGCGCGATTTTTAAAATCAACCAATCACAATTTTATGGATAATTTTTGATTGGTTGATTTTAAAAATCGCGCCAAAATCTTTCTGTCGATTGTTTATTCGGCCATTTGCAATTTCGGACAAATGAAAATTCGGCGTTTTAAGAATTCCGACAAATAAAATTTCGGTGCCTAAAAATTCTGTTAATTAAAAATTCTTTAAAAAAAAAATTCTGACAAATGTTAATTTGAAAAATGAAAATTCGTTTAAAAAATAATTATATGTAATGAAATTGTTGAAAATGAAAATTCTCAGTAATAATTTTTATGGGATAATCATGCACCCCGCTGGAGAAATGTAAATAATTACCACTTAAATTAATTTTAAGCAAGAAAAATTGTAATAAATTATTTATATAAAAATTTTTTTTAAGACGTTTTATTTTTAATTAAAGTCTATCTTAATTGGAGAATTTTAAGATTTTTGGTAATTTTTTCTAACAAAAAGAATTAAAATTATAAATCATTTTGGTTAAGACCAAACGTGTTTAAATTGTAATTTCTTTCTTCTCTCCATTCGGGAACGATTTTTGTATTTATATTATTATTTTTTTTTCAAATATTTAAATTAAAATAGATATTTCAAAATTTAATTGTTTTTAAAAATTTAACAATTCTTTTTTTTTTTTTATTTTTGATATCTGTAAAATTATTTTTTAATATAATTATTTAATAAAATTTTATATTATTTACTTGGAAATTTTAAAGATGAGTTTCATTGGAAAAAATTCAATTTCAATTTCTTTATTGATAATTTTGTTCAAAATAATCTAATTTACTTATATATTAATTGAATATTGTATATTTAAAAGAATATACCAAAATATTGTGTGAAAATTAATTTTTAAATTTATCTGCGAAATGTCAAAATTTTAACACATTTCAATTAAATTTTACTAGAAATTTAATTTTATATCTTTGTTTTAATATTTCAATGTAAATTTTTTCTTTCCATCACATCAAAATTTGACGCTGGGGAATGAGATATTTTTTTATTAAAAAATTTATTTATTTTATTTCTGTTTTATTAAAATTTTTTAAATCTCGTTAAAAATCGAACTATACTTGTATATTTTAATACAATCTATTTTTGAACCAGATTTTTTAAATTTAATAAATATATAATAAAAATATATATTTACAAATTTTCTATAGAAAAATTTAATTGAAATTTTTTCAACTTTGACATTTTTGCAGGAAAATTTAAAAATTAATTTTCATATTTTGTTTTTTTTTAATACAATAATCAATTAATATATAATTGGACTATTTTGGAAAACTATCTATGAAGAAATTGAAATTTTTAAAAATTTTACAGCTGTCAAATAAACTTTTTTTCCGTAAAACTCATTTTTAAAATTCAAATTTCCAGATAAATAAGATAAATTTTTTTATAAAATAATTGTCAATAAAGAAACGAATATAAAAAATTATCACTCGATTTTGAAAAAAATTCTTTTTTTTGCAATTTTTTTTAGAGATAAATTAACTTATCTTTAGAAAAAAATTTATTTTTTTTTTTGAAAATTCGTTATGTAATAAGATTTCCAAAAGATAACAAATATTTAGCTAAATCAAAATTGTCAAACTCAACTCTATGGTGAAATTGAGTTTATCCTTCTATTTTTAATTTAAAAGAATTATTAATAATTAAATTAAGTTATACAGTTCTTTAATATTATAACGTTCAAAAATATAAAAAAAAAAAATTGGGTCAATATTCTTTTCTCTAATTTATTTTTTTTTTTCTATTGAAAATATTCTTATAACCTTGTTATATATATATATTGTTCAGTGATTTTATATAGTACAAAATTTCGAAGCTCATAAAAGAATTAAATTCTTTTTCTTATACAAATTTTTTTTTTGCTGATAAAATTTTATTTAATTAGATAGTTTGTAACCTTGCTGCGGTATATCGACATATTTCAAATTACACAAATTTCTTAATGATCATATGTTGATCAAAGAATATGTTAATATTACATGTTGACTGAACAGAAATCCGTTTTAATTAAATAGATAATTTGAATATTCAAAATTTTTGATGTTGAAATTTTACAATTTTTTTTTATTAATAATAAAATATTCATAATAATAATTTATTTTATTTTTTTTCCAGATTCATTTAATGCTGTAAATTAAATAACAATTTATTGTTGTATATTAATTAATTTTAATTTTATGTTTGATATATTCTCATTTTTTTATTTTTAGTAAGATTTAAATATATTTATATACAATTTGTATAAATTTTTGATTTTGTTTGTTTGCTAGTGTAAATTAATAAATAAATTATTGAATAATTATGAAAACTAAAAAAAATAATAAAAAAAAATTTTTAATCTAACTACGAAAACTCTGATTAAGGCGATAACTATATTCAATTTTGAAACAGATTTCTGTTTAGTCGACATACGTAGGTAATAGTATTCAATCGACATATGATCACTAAGAAATTAATTAAATTTGAAGTATCTACCGAATATAAATATGTATAAATAAATAAAAAGTAATAATTGCAATTTAGATATGCCCAAAAACTTGAAATTCAATTTTTATAATTTTCATAATTTTATTATTTCCTTAAAATTTTCACTTTGAACCAAAATTAGTTCTAGTTTCGAGTTTAGATTATATCGCAAAATTGTTAATTAAAAAATGTCTATAATTGAAATTTTTTGTTTAAAGTCTTAAAAATAAAATTATTAATTATTAAAATTTTTTGTAAAAAGTAGTTTTTTATTTGTTTTCCAAAAAAAAAAGTCGAACGATAAAAACAATTTTAAAAATAAAATTTTAATCTAAAAATTGCAAAAAATCTAATAAATCGTTTTGAAAATTGTAAAAAAATTATTGTATTTCTAAATTGTAATAAAATACTTCTTCCATAGCAAAATAATGCTAAAAAATTTTTCCCACATAAAAAAAATATGTAAAACTATTTTTTAAAATAATTTATTACAAAAAAAAACATCAATTATTTATTATGAAAGAATTCTTTTTTCCTAAAATATTATAATAAAATAGATAAAAATAACTATAATTTTACTTTATGTTAAAAAGTGCAAAACAAAATTGCTGATTATACATTTTTTTTTTTGCACGAAGGAACTATCCTGTGATATGATTTTTGATATTCTTTTTATAAGCATTTCTCACGAAACTTGAATGTTTATCAAACGATCAAAGTAATTTGATATTTCATCGACATTTGTACACCTATAGAAAAAAAAATTTGATAAAACTAAAAAAAAAGTTTTGCATTTACATTAAAAAAAAAAAATTCTACCAATATTTTGCTTTTTATTAAAACTTTTATTTATGCGTAAAGTAAATTTTTTAAATTAAATTTAATTAGTGTTGATTTATGACATAAAATGCAAGCTACGTTTCTATGCGAGAGATAAGGTAAAAACGCCCATAGATATCGGTCAACTAACAGGTTTTATGTGACTGAAATAAAACATTATATATAAAGTACTAAAAAAAAAGTGCGTTATAAACAAAAAAAAAAAAAACATAAAAAATTTAATTATTTTTCACGAAAAAAAATACATTTTACAAACGCTGTTAAATAAATCTTTCAACTCTAAAATTTAAGAGAATGTGATGAAATTTTTTTTTTTCTGACAAATGGTAAATAATTTTGGCAACAAAAATTGTGTTTTTCTTTTCTTTTCACTCGGGAATAAATGATTAATAAAAAAAAAGTTAAATAATTCGTACAATAAATTTCTTTTTAGTATAAGGGTAAATTAAAATTTTTTTTTAAGCAGTAATAAAAAATATAAAATATTTTTTTACAATTTACAATTTTACATATTGAATATTTATTTGAATACTGAATATTTATTGATTTTTCATTTGAATCAAATAAATTTTTTTTACTGTACTTGAAGATCAAATCTTACATTTTAAAATTCGTATTTAATTTTTTTTTTTGCAATTTTGATTTGAATAAAAAAAAATATTTTTGACATAAATGAGTGACACTATATATACATAGAGGTTTATACTTGTCAGCAATATATCATAATTTTTTTTTTTTTTATCAGTATATGAAGCATC